CACACACACACACACACACACGCAAGGTAACACGCACTTACAGCTCCCTGTGAGAAAAGACAGAACACCCCCCCCTCCAGAAAAACAGACGTCAGAGAAAGAGTGAAAGATAGAGACACAGTATTATGGTCATGATGACTGAGACAGAAGCAATGATAGAGGTGGAGACAGAGACACGGACAGAGATAGACAGAGACACGGACAGAGACAGAGACATATACAGAGACATATACAGAGACCGAGACAGACAATTGTTCGTGTGATGACTGAGACAGACAGACAGACAGACAGACAGACTGACAGACAGACAGACAGACAGACAGACAGACATACAGACAGACAGACAGACAGACAGACGAACAGACGAACAGACAGACAGACATACAGACAGACATACAGATAGACACATGGTCGTGTAATGACAGAGACAGAGACAAAGATGGAGACAGAGACAGAGACAGAGACAGACGTGGCCGTGTGATGACAGAGAAAGAAATAGCGACAGAGACTGAGACAGAGACACATGATTGTGTAATGACATAGACAGAAGCAATGACAGAGGGAGAGATAGACAATATAACAGAGACAAAGACAGACACAGGCACATGGTCATTTGATGACAGAGACAGAGACAAGGACAGAGAAAGAGACAGACAAAATGACCTTGTGATGACAGAGACAGAACAGAGGCAGAGACAGAGACAGACAATTATTCGTGTGATGACTGAGACAGAGACACATGATTGTGTAATGACATAGACAGAAGCAATGACAGAGGAAGAGATAGACAATATAACAGAGACAAAGACAGACACAGACACAAGGTCATTGAAAGGGATAGATATGTCCGTGTGATGATAGAGACAGACACAGACGCATGGTCATGTGATGAGACAGACAAATGGTCATGTGATGAGACAGAGACAGAGACAGACACATGGCCATATGGTGAGACAGACAAATGACCATGTGATGACAGAGACAGACACACAGATCATGAGATGAAACAGACAAATGGCCATGTGATGAGACAGAGCCATGTCCGTGTGATGATCGCCCATGTTTGCTGATCCCACACTCAGTGACGCTCACACCACCAGCCCAGGGGCTGTAGAAAACTGTACTATACACACTGGGCCCCTACCGAGAATCCCACGGTCTCTGCGAGAAAACGTTGAGGAGGGAGCTTCTTTACTTTTCTATTCCTCTATACCCCCCTCCCAACGTTGATGAGGGAACTTCTTTACTTTTCTATTCCTCTATACTCCCCCTCCCAACGTTGAGGAGGGAACTTCTTTACTTTTCTATTCCTCTATACCCCCCCACCTCCCAACGTTGAGGAGGGAACTTCTTTACTTTTCTATTCCTCTATACCCCCCCTCCCAACGTTGAGGAGGGAACTTCTTTACTTTTCTATTTCTCTATACCCCCCCTCCCAACGTTGAGGAGGGAACTTC